GGGGTGCGGGGTGGCATGTGTGCACCATGAAGAGAGCTGGCTTAGCTCGAGGTTGGAAACATAAATGCCTTCAAGGGCCTGGCCAAATCATAACTGAGTGAAAGTGAACAAAACAATAGGGACTGGTGGGGACTGTGGCAAAATGGAGAGCTTGCACCCTCTAAAAGCAGCGGCTGCCGCACAGCTGCAGTGGTTGGTGTGGGAATGCGGGCCCCGGTGTGTCCAGACCCTCCGTTTTTCAAAGCCAAATAGCCCTGAGTTTTTAAATGTGAACTCTCTTATTAAACACTGGCACCTAATTGAAAAATATTTTCAGTGGCATGCAGGCCACATCTACGGGCCAGTCATGGTGGGCGAGCTGCCCATGTGTGGCCTCTGGCCCGTTCTTTCCTCCTCACAGGCTGTGTTGAGTTCTCCATGTGGGTGACGGGGTGTGCTGCCCCGGTGGCCCACAGCACAGACTGAAAGGAGTTCCTTTTGTTCTTTCTGCCAGAAAACGAGCCTCCCTCTCCTCTGGTCTCTGGGATTATTGATTACAACATGCCCCTCACCTCCACATACCTGAAGCAGATGAAGTTGCGCGTGATGAATTCCCAGGAGCAGGTAAGTCTCCCGTTTCCCCTCACCCCACCTGGAAGCGTCCTAACTTGCCTGGATGTGGCTGATCCTTCCCAAGATGTGGGGCCACAGCCTGTGTAAACACACTGGAAATCAAAGAGGCCCTTATCTGGTTATCTGGGCTGTGCCGTCAGGCTGAGAGGGGAGGGAAAGAATGTGTTCCTAGTTAAAGGGTCTGCTGGGCAGACAGCCCTGCTGGGTCTTCAGTGAAACCCAGGGAGCTCACGCGTCACAAAACTTTCCCCGAGGGCAGGGCAGGGAGGGGGAGGCGCGAGCTGCAGACCTTGGCTCTTGGGTGGTTCTGTCTCTGCTCTGCCCTTTGTCTGCTACTCCTCTCCCCAGGGAGACGAGGGAGGAGGGGCCCTGCCTGCCAGCCTGTGGCCTCTGTCACTCTTGGGGCCCAGACAGGCCAGGAGGATGGGCCCTGGCGGGTGGCCCGAGTAAGATAAGGCCCCTGGCTGTCCAAGACTCCCCAGCTGCGGATTGCCAAGGGCTGTCAGGCACCGTGGAAACAGGCTATTAAAAGAAAACCACTCTTGCCTCCCTCCCCACACAGTACACCTTCTAGCCCTTCGCAAAGCAAGTAGCCTGACTGTCTGTCTCTCAAAGGGGGGCAAGTGAGCGCCACCCCCTCCCTCCATCGCCGCCTAAAACCAGGGCCATAATCTCTCCCCTCCAGCTTCAAGGGTTCTCATCTGTTGTGATGTCTGAACTCACCCTGTCTTTGTGGCCTGACCAGGGGAATGGGTTCTTTCATGGGAAGTCTGACTTCCAGCCCTGGGTGCATGCTGTCTCACTTACTGCTGGTCTCCTTGACAACCTGAGCATGCGCTGTCCCGGGAGCGAAGGGGGCGAGGGGGTGATAGGTCCAAGGTGACGTGGCAGGATGTGTCCTGGTAACGTCTGGGCCTGCGGCACCCGGTTTGCGGATTTGAGCTGGTTGGCTTGAGCATACCAAGTCTGCGCTCCCCTAAGGAGGAGGGAGGGCGTGCCAGCCATGATCAGCCCCTAAAGGTTGAGTGAAGTACGCTTCGCTCTGGCTGGTAGAGCTGTTTGTGTCTCTGTGTCTCCAGCGTTTTCTTTCCCGAGAGTGTCTGTTCTGTGATGGTTGCATCCCTAAGAAATGTCCAGCAATCAAAGGTAACGTCAACGGGGAAAGTGGCGTTGGGGTCTCACACTCGCAGAAAGAACTTGGCCGTGGCGCTAGAACCGGCCTGTGGCCTCTGTCACTCTGTGGCCACCGCCAGCACCAGTAGTAGTCAGCATAGCCCACCTGCGATCCCTCATTAACGGATCCTGCTATATTTCATCTGGTTATACAAAGTCTTACCGTCTGGGGGGGATTAAGACTGTTGGCTAGCTATATTAGCAAGGATTTGGGCCTTCAACAAATATTTATAGAGCCCTACTCTGTGACCTGGGGATGAGCAAAGGCAGCACCATTCCTAGTTCTCCTGATCTAGACAGACACTAATGATAAAATCACACACAAACACCCAGCTCATAGCAGGTAGCCATAAATAGTCGAGGGAGAGATTAATCCGGCATCTCGGTGCAGCTGTAACAAGTGTCCTGCAGTGGGGCACATGGTGCTCTGAGTGCTTAGATGTGTGTGTCAGGGGAGGGGGGGGGCAGGGGGGATCAGGGAAGGTTTGCCTCAGAAAGTGACGTTTGAGCTGAGACCACAACCTGAAGGGAACAGAGCGCTAGGCCTCAGCTTGTGCAAGGGCCCTGTGGCTCGAGGAAAGATGGCACCAGCGAGAATCTGAGGGCTGCTGAGGCCGGTGCAGAAACTGTGAGGAGTTCTACTGCTAAACAAAGGAGAGAGCAGCACAGTGTGAGGCACTTGGTGGATATCTGTGAACGAACTGAAGTTCCTGAGGCGAGATGGATAAATTGTCGGGGTGAGGTCTGGCTACTCCCAAAAGAAGGGAGGATTGCGGGAAGGCATTTTCCCAGGGTGCTCTGGGAACCCAGCTGGGCTGAGGCTGAGGCCGGGACTGCGGTGGCCTCTCTGCACAGTGGCGCTGACTGTGTCTTCCTCGCCTTCATTCTTAGCTCCCCAGATGGGGCTCTCTGAAAGTAGTTATTTCTCCTGTGTGCTGCCGGAGATCAAAGGGGCAGACCCTCCCTGCACACCTGGCAGAGGAGCCGCGTCCTGCCTCGTGCCCAGGGCCTTTCCTCTGTCAGCTCCCCCACTCCGCGCACAGCAGTGAGCTCTCAAGGCCTCAGCCTCTCCGGCAGCGCCGCTCTCCCTCTTTTATAGCCGGGCACGTGGAAAAACAAAAAACCACATTGCTCACCGGATCATTTATCTACAGCAGCAAGGAAGGGCCAAGGACCCAGAAGTCTTGGGGTTTTCAGCTTGTAAAAATACACATATTTGAACTGATAGCTTCTTTGTAGTTATTTCTCCTGTGTGCCGCCGGAGATCAAAGGGGCAGACCCTCCCTGCACACCTGGCAGAGGAGCCGCGTCCTGCCTCGTGCCCAGGGCCTTTCCTCTGTCAGCTCCCCCACAGCACAGCAGTGAGCTCTCAAGGCCTCAGCCTCTCTGGCAGCGCCGCTCTCCCTCTTTTATAGCCGGGCACGTGGAAAAACAAAAAACCACATTGCTCACCGGATCATTTATCTACAGCAGCAAGGAAGGGCCAAGGACCCAGAAGTCTTGGGGTTTTCAGCTTGTAAAAATACACATATTTGAACTGATAGCTTCTTTCCTATTGCAGAGCCAGAACAGGCCTCCCCTAGGGGTGGGTGGATAGGCCCCTATTCGAACTCAGCCAGGGGACTGGCTCTGCTCTATCAAATCTCGCTTCCCAAGACCAGGCTCCCAAAGTAGTTTCATTCCTTGCCCATCACTCTGACCGGGATACGCAGAGGACACCTGGAGTGTTTGCAAATCAATCACGCAGGCTACATGGAAAAATAAACCAAACCTAAACTCACGGGGAGCCAGGACAAATGGTATTTTATTAATGCCGAGCACAGCTCTACATCTGAGAACTCTGGTGAAGAAAATCCCAATAATTCATCTTTCCCATCCAAGAGACAAACCGTAAGGCGAGTAGAACATTTCCCTCGCTTTGCTTTGGGCAGACAAGGACAGGTGGCGGGGTTTCCTTGTGAGACGGACAGAATCACATTGCTTGTGCTCCGGTCGTGTCGGATTAATGTGCTGGGAGATGGGTCCTTCTCCACGAGGGTGTTCGGTAAAGTGAAAACCCAGCATAGCAACATTCACACAAAGGAAACATGTTCTTCTTGAGTTCTGATTCAATGCGGCAGAAATTTATGGCGCCCTCAGTGTGCAAGGCATTTAGGGGTCAGCCTCCACCCTCGCAGGACTTCCGTCCTGAGACACAGACCAGAGCCCGGGAGCTGTCATTGAAGTGGCCACATTGAGCTGAAAATAAGAGAGTGTAGCCTGAGAAAAATCTCTTCTTTTTTTTTTCATTTTTGTTCTTACTGGTGAAACTCTCATAAAGATAGAAAACTGAAATGCACATTCAATTGTACTGATGACGAATGCATTCCTTATAGGGGCAGGATTGGAAGGGCTCTGTGCATGTAGACTTACTCTGCGCATTCTCGGATAGGAGGAGGGTCCAGGGAGGGATGCAGGCAGCGCTCACAGGGCAGGCCCACCCGCAAGCGCCATCCCCAGAGCTGATCTCACAAAGCCCTTTCGGGGCTGTCTGTGTGCGGACGCTCCAGGAGTGCGGGGCCTCTTCCTCACGCTGCCACTGGTTTTCTATCCCATTTGGGTTCCTTTCATACTCTCAAAAACATGAATTACACAAGTAACACACAGGTAATACCTTAGTAGAAGAATCAGTAGCCAAAAAAGCAAAAGCACAGTGATAAAAGTCACCATCATCCCACCACTCAGATCACTGAATCGTTTGGTGTCCACCCTTCCAGGCTGTTGAATAGAAAGGGGGTTATCCAGTATGCACCCTTTTTACAATCTGCTATGTTTCTCTGGTGCGTATTTTCCATGTTATTGGAAGTCTCTTTGACCTTCGGGCCTTGATGTTTCCACTTGTCAAATGCGCTGGTTATATAATTTTCCTGTCATTCCCTCACTTCTTCACCCATATCCACCCATCTATCCATCTATCCATCCACTGTGCACCTGAGCCAGGTGCCAAGGAGACCGTGGTGAATAGAGCCCTGTCTCTGCCTTGCCTGCTCTCACAGTTCGATGAGAGAGGCAAGGAGAAACAAAAGAAAGAGCTTAGGAGAGGAACAGACCAGCAACAAGGGAGCCAGCAGGGTGGGTGCTGTTTCAAGCAGGTGGGTCATTAGTGGGGCACCTGTTCTGTGTGCAGTACTGTCCACACTTTGCCCTTCACCCTCACCGTTCTTCAGGGTCATGTTATTATCCTCGTCTTACAGACGCCTTGGCTGAGGCTCCAAAAGGGTCAGCACTTGCTCAAGGTCACACAACCACTAAGGTGAATGGAAGCTCAGATCTTTCCCATCCCTGAACCTGTGCACCTGCCTGGGCCCCAAGCCCTGCTCCTCTCCCCACCTCCTGGAGGAGGATGTGCTCTTCAGGATCGAGTATTGCCCCAGGCGCTGGTGGAGGCAAAATGTCCGTGGCAGCGATGCTAGCAGGGCAGGCTTTGTTTGCCCGGGAACGGGGACCACCCTAAATATATGGTGCCTAAGGAAATACGTGAAGAGGAATTTGACAGGGGCCAGGGTTGGGGTGGGGTGGTCTTCCTTACCTCGTGAAGGCTCAGTTATCTGCAGAGGCCCATCTGCAATTTGATATCCACATTACGGGTGACTTTATTCTGATTGTTCCCGAGACCCCAGTGTTGGGACCCGCGGCAGAAATCAGATCCAGACCCGGAAGGAGAGAGACAAATCGTCTGTGCCTTCCCGGACACACGCTTTCATTTTATAGAAGTGGAGGCTGAGACCCCAAAGGTGCAGCGACTTTCCCGGGCACCCAGAGTGGGAGGGCCGTCAGCA